TATTCTACATTTTGAAATCCTAGTCTGTCCCTTATTTTCAGTTTTTTAAGGAATCTCCATACTGTTTTCCACAGTGGCTGCACCAAACTACATTCCCACCAATAGTGTAGGAGGGCTCCCTTTTCCTCACAGCCTCTCCATCATTTATCATTTGTGGACTTTTGAATGATGGCTATTCTGACTGGTGTGAGATGACACCTCATTGTAGTTTTAATTTGCATTTCTCTCATAACTAGTGATATTGAGTATTTTTTCATGTTCCTATTGGCCATTTGTATGTCTTCATTGGAGAAATATGTGTTTAGATCTTCTGTCCATTTTTTGATTGAGTTGTCTGTTTTTTTGTTATTGAGTTGTATGAGCTGTTTTTGTATTTTGGCAATTAAGCCCTTGTCAGTCGCATCATTTGCAAATATTTTCTCCCATTCTGTATGTTGTCTTTTTGTTTTGTTTATGGTTTCCTTTGCTGTGCAAAAGCTTTTAAGTTTAATTAGGTCCCATTTGTTAATTTTTGCTTTTGTTTCTATCGCTTTGGTAGAGTGCCCTAGGAAAACATTGCTACAATTTACATCAGAGAATGCTTTGCCTATGTTCTCTTCAAGGAGATTTATGGTGTCTTGCCTTATGTGTAAGCCTTTAAGGCATTTGGAGGTCATTTTTGTGTATGGTGTGAGGGAGTTTTCTACAGCTGTCCAGCTTTCCCAACACCACTCGTCAAAGAGGCTATTTGTATATTCTTGCCTCCTTTGTTAAACATAATTTTTTACGTACTGGGAAACCCAAAAATTTGTGTGGCTTGCTTTGTTGCCATATCTGCATTGTTGTGGTGTCTGGAACTGAACCTGCAGTATCTCTGAGGTGTGCCTCTACTTAAAATACCAGATAGTTATAGACTGTTCCCAAAACTAATTCAAAATAGTGATAAGTATGGATTTGATTGACTTGACCATCTCTATACTTAATTCTAAATATCCTCAGACATTTAACCACGAAGACAGAAGTCATTTCCTCCCAGGTAGTTGCCATTGCCCGGTTGGGTAGCTGAGGTTGCGTGTGGCCCTGAGACCTTGGGGTAAGAATATTTACAGCTGAGGACATTGTCAAAGGACGAAATGAAAACAACTTAGTAATGAGTTTAATGTCCTTTATTGAAGGGAAAACAATCCGTGGATCGGGGGAGTGCAGTGGAGCACCGTTCCCAAGAGATTTGGGTC